TCTGGAAAAATTATATCATAGTAAAATTATATTTGTGTAATGAAATCAGTAATCATCTACTATAACGAATAATTCGTAACGCTATAACGAAGATTCTTATAATGAAGTCCTGATCGGCTGGAGCGGTAACTTCGTTATATCGAGGTGTGACTGTATTATTTATATTATTTATAACTTCTAAAAAAAATCTTCTGAATTGATATATTTTATTATTAAAATTAATATTTTTATAATTTTTTTTGCAAATTTTGTAAATATTTAGATTAAACTTATAATAATATATTTGATTTTTTTATTTTTCTAATAAAATATGATCCATCTTTTTTTGTTTTAAATATGTATTATCTGATTAAATTAATTTAAAAGGTGATTTAAGAGTTTTATCTTCATTTAATAAACTAATTTCATTTTTTCGTCTATTATTATTTTCATTTATTATTCATCAAATTTATCATTATTTTAATCTTTTTATAAACATTTTATTATTTTCTCTTTCTTTATCTTTGATCTTAGTTTTTCATTTTGATGAACAGGTTATTAATAATTATATAAGAAATTAATTGAAAATAATAATCTTTATATGAAAAATTTATGTAATAATATTTTTAATTCCAATTCAAAAATTTCTTTTTTATATAGATTATATAATTTATTTATAAACTTTTAATTAAATGAATTAAATTCCTAATTAATCTTAAAGATAAACTGATAATTAATATTATTTTATTATTTATATTAAAACTTATTTTTTTATTACCTTTTTTATATATATTAAGTTTATATTATTTTTATTCAAATTATAAAATAAGAAAAAATATATAAAATCTGTATTTAATTATTATTTAATTTAAATCAAAATTAAAATTTATATATATCTATTTAATAGAAAAAAATACAAAATTATATTATTATATTATTACTATTATAAAGTATTAATATAAATTTTGTATAAAGTTAATTAAAATAGTTTATGTTACTTATATTTATTTAAATTATAAATTAATAAAAATTTTATTAGTTTATATATGATTACTTATTTTGTTTTTTTAATATATAAGAAAATCATGAAAAACTGATTTTTTAAAAAGTTCATAAAATTTATTAATAAGTCTTAATTCTTTCATATTTTTTATTAGTTAAAAAACTAAAAATATGTTTAAAATCTTTTATTAATAAATTTATCTTTTTAATAAATATTATAAATAAAATTTTTATCAATTTAAATAAAGAATTTTAAAATAAAAATTAATTTAAAATATAGTTTTAGAATTTAGAACTTGAATCTAATATTTTAAAAATATTTTAAATTTTAAAAGAAATTTAAACTTATTTAATAAGTAATTCTAATTAAAAAATTGATTATAAAAATAACATTTAAAAAAAAATCTTTAAAATTTAAAATTAATTAGAACTAATTAGTTTTTTTTAATCCTAACTAGAAAGGTCATCAGAATTTTTAAAAATTAAGGCTTTTATTTAAAATTTAAGATATATAATATAATGTATAAATTATTAAATATAATTTTAATAAAAATATCAAAATTTATATAAATAAGATATATATCAAATAGAAGTAAAAGAATAAATATTTATAATGGATAATGTCAATTTTACTTTCTTATAAATTATTATATAAATTACTTTGTCAATTAAATTTCTCTTGATAATCACTGTAGATTCAGATGTTAATTTAATTTTTAGTATAACAAGTAATTTTATTTTTATAATAATATTATTAATTATTTTATTAACTTTATTTTCTAATAATATGCTAACTTTATTTCTATCAGATATATTTAGTTTAATTTATTTTATAATTATTCAACATGTATAAAAAGAATAGAAATATAATGATTTTAGCATTTTATATAAAAAAATACTTTATTAAAAAATTCAAGACTTTTAAAATTTTATAAAAACTATATATTTAAATAATTGCTTTTTATTATAACAGAAATCTTTGTAATAGATATATTTTTTGTTTATTATTATAGCTTTATTGTTAATTATTATTTTTTGTATTTTTTTTTTTTTTTTAGTATTACTATAAATTTATTAGAACCATTATTTATTTATATAATTTATAATATTTTCAGAATATTTTTTTTTAATAAAAAAATAATCCGATTCCTTATTGATTAACATCAAAGTTTTTTTTTTAAAGTCCTATGCTACATTAGAAACTTGTTAAATTAAAATTAATCTATATTATTATCATCATATCTTACAAACATCACCTTCACATTCTCTACCTCCTTCTTTAGAATCCTTTTGTAAATTTGATTTGTGTCTAACCCTTACTAATTTTGCAAAATCTGAATATCCTCCAATGAATCTATACTTATTTGGATCACATCCTTCATAAATCAAAGGGGATGTCGTATGATCTTTTGAGTTTGGAATTATCTTATGAAAAGATTAAGTAAGATCTTTTTGTCTATTATTTATTTAATTTAATATTTTTTATTTTTAAAACAAAAAAATTTTGTTAAATAACTTACCGAATGAAGGTCTTTTATTCTGTCACCCCACTATTTCGAATGCGAGTTTAATAAATTCGAGAAGTTAATAATTTTGAAAAATTTATCCATGTAAAGAGAATTAAGTATACTCACGTTTTCTTTTTTATGTGCATCGACATTAACTTTGATGTGTGTATCCTTGTCAAGAAAAGTACCTTTCAGTTTCTCACCCAAATCTACTGCAGCATTAAAGTACGAGCAATTGATAAATCCTTCCTAGATTTATAAAATAATGGTTTATAAATTATCAATTAAAGAATTGTATGGGATACTTTATTAACTTACAATATTGTAACAAATATTTGAAGAATCAGATTTTGAAGAAAAGAAATAATTCATTGACAGATTAGGATATAATTTGGAAGGTTGAAGGAGAGTTCGAAAATGTAAAGAACGAAAAATGAAACGGTTCATATTGTACGTAATAAAATTAGAACCAACATCTGATCTACAAAAATTTTCAATTTCAATTTTTTTTGGTGTAACGTTCGTTTTTGATTTAGTGGCTTAGTTCAACTCTTTAAACAGCAAATTCTCGAGTTTCTTTTGAACCGTTTAACTTTGCTTTCTCATAAAAATTATCATGGCAACACAAGATCTTCAAATAGTGGCACAACTTTTACAACAAGAACAAGACTTCCAATTTCTAACTTTTGATTCAAATGTAGCTTTAGATTTGGGTCTTGTAATTGTTAAAATTGCTCAACAAAAAGGATTACCCATTGTAATTTCTATTTCACTAAATGGACACCTTTTATTTCATTATTCCATGCCTGGAACATCACCGGCAGATGTAGAATTGGCAAAGAAAAAGAGTAACGTCGTTAATCAATTCCGTCATTCATCACTTTATGTAGGAGAGACTTTGAGCCAACAAAAAAAAATTGGGGATATACATTTTGTTGAAGAAAAAGAATACGTAGCACAAGGAGGTGCTTTTCCATTGATTGTCAAAGGTGTTGGAGTTGTGGGATCGATTACCGTTAGTGGATTGACGCATACAGAAGATCATGAAATGGTCATTGGATGTTTAAAAGAATTTTTTGGAAAAGAAGGAAAGAATAAAGTTGAATGAAATAAAGGAGCTTGCTTGGAATCTCGTTGTTTAGGTAGTAAAAAGATTTTGGGAATTAAAAATAAAAACTTTTCTCGTTTAATTTATTTAGATAAAGTTATATGCATAATCTTTTTAGGATAAAATCATCAATTGATAAAGAGGGATATTATAATACAATATAATAATAATTACAAAAAAATTATTCATGATTTAATTCTTCATACTTTTTCTCAATATCCTTTTGATAACGCAGAACTTTAAAGAGTTCAACAGGTGTCTCGGGCATTTTCCAATCATCAGGAATTCTTTCTTCTTTAAAGAGAATTTCTACAACTTTAGCATCAACTTCTTTATTTGTCGCCCCTCCAATAGTATGTAAAAATAAAGAATATTCTCCGAATGCCAAGGTCTTTTGTTTCCAACCAAAGTTAAAATCTTTATTACGTTCTTTTGAATCTGCTTGACGTATTTTAGATAATTTTGCGAGGGATTCGGTATTAATTTTTCCATCAATTTTCTGTGATAATATTAAATCTACTAAATCCTTATCAACTTTTATGTGATCACCAATCGCATCATCTTGACGAGATAAAGACGCGTCGTGTTCAAGAATACCGTGTACATGAAGATCACTGAGTGACCTTTATTTTTTAACAAAAACAAACACAAAAAATATATTTATTAATTTTGTAGCAACGACTCCGTGAAACCACGTGACTAGAAAATTCACATACATTGTTCGAAAAAATTTCCCATAAAAAAGAAAAGCCCAGAATGCTAGCCATGTGGCCAAAGCTGTACCAAGATTAAAACCTTTACGAAGAGCATCAATTAATCTGGACATTGTAAAATCTTTTCCGCTTCTTGGACTATCATTTTTTTTTTTTTTTTGGAATTTTACAACAAAAATTATAATGAAAATAAAAAAATGGAAAGAGGACCAATTGATAAACTTACAGAATACCATGGTTAGCCAAAGCATTAATGGCAGGACAAGGAGACCTTACATCATTTTCACCAGGAGGCATATATTCAGGGGGGGACATATTGGGAAAGTTTTAAAAAATCAAGTTTGAAATCTGTCGTCTATATATAAAAATCACCCCAAAATAAAGTACCCGGGCATTTAAGGCTAAAGCTCGGACCAATTTGGTTAATGTAAATTACAATGACACAATTAATTAAGCCAAATTAGTTCATTATTTTATTATACTTTGTCATGTTACTTACATTACGCGTCTTCTTTTCCCAACTATTTTTAAAATGGTGTTCCCTTATCTGCATCCAGATATTTTACCAATAATCTTTGAATGTCTTGTAAAAACATGCGATCAAGAGAACCTAAAGAGTTTATACCACTGCGTACTAGTCAATAGGAATTGGTGTCAAAACGCCATTCCCGTTCTTTGGGCAAATCCTTTTCGCTTTCTTACTGAAGACAGGAAAGCTATTACCGAGGTTATTCTCATGTACATGGCTTGTCTTGATGAAAATAAGAAAAAAGAATTGTTTTTAGGCGCGAAAATACCAAAGGAAGTTGCCAAAACTCCCATGTTTAATTATCCTTCATATTTGAAGATTCTTGATTATTGGGAGCTTGTGAATTCCATAAATGAAACCACACGAATTCTATTAAAAAAAATTGATAGGACAATAATCTTTAAATATGACGATGCTCAAAATATCTCGACAAGACTTAAATCTTTCGTCGTAGATTATATTATCGAAAATGCCAGAATCAATTCGTTAATTGTCGCGGATCATTACAGGCATGGTTTCACTCTTGAATCGATTGATTATGAGAGAGTCGCTGACGGTAGAGATGGTAAATTCTTTGAAAACATCAGAAAACTTGACTTTGTATTTGATTATCAGGATATTTATGAAGTCTTTGATTGGCTTCCAATTCATTGTAAAAACGTGGTATGTTTATTTTATATTAAGAACGCAGAATTATGTTTTTATTGATGTGTATATATATATATAATTTTCTTAAGAAAAGTCTTAGGATTCAAATGAAGTATCATAACCCAATCGCGCTATCGATGATCAACAAATTTATTAAAGAACTTCAAGATCTCAAGAAGTTCAAATACAGATATTTTTATCGAAGTAAAGAAGAAACTGATTGTGTACCTTCAATATCAAATCATATCTATTCGCTTCGAGTGATTGAGATTAGACATTGCTGTCTTAAAGGAAGTAACATTATTGATGAAATTGCAAAGTGTAAAAATTTGGAAGCACTTAGATTAATATCTTGTGTAGGTATGCATTTTAAAGTAGCAGAACCTTTGATTACAGCTGATCTCCCTAAACTTAAAGATGTTGAATTGATTGGAAATGAATCTTGCTGCAAAGAAGTAATTGAGTGGGCAAAAGGGTTTCCGTCACATGTTATTGATCAAAATCGTAATGGTTTATAGCAAAGATTTTAAAATTATCAGATAAATTCTTAAATCATTTCATCTCATCTATAATCAAATATCACGTGCAAATTGACACAACATAAATATTTATCAAATATTTGATTTTAAATTTAGTTTTTTTTTAAACAATATTCGATCTGTAATACGTCGAATCGGAGTCTAACTCACGAAACCGCAGTAAATTTTCCAAAGAAAGGGATTTGGAAAAAGGAGAGTTTCATCGCCATCATCGTACATTGCAATTCTGACTTTATAGAATCCCGAATTAGTTTCAACTCTATCTTTTGAAAGAATCTTTACTGATTGGTCTAAACCTTATTAGATAACATAAACTGCGTCACGAACATAATTTTAAAGTAAAGAAAAATGAATTTTTCAATTCATCAGATACTACCATATCCTTTAATACAATTCCTAGAAAATTTTCAATTGTGCAATTTATAAAATAATAAAACTTTAATTTCCAGTTTATCCTTATAAATTAATGTTCATAAGCAAAAACAGAGAAACAAGTTAGGTATAAAAATTGAGAGTTGATACAGTCAGATAAATGTTTCTCCTTTAGTGTTTGTGATTTAATACACACAAAATACAAATTAACCTTACTTGAAGCGCCTTTGGTGTTACGTAGTTACGTAGTGCGAAAATATAATCCCGCCAAAAAATATCAACTTTTATTATAAAAAAATTTTTTGTTTGTCCAAACGAGAGTTTTATTCGGTTTATACACGGAAGTACGTTCGTTAATATTAAATTTCTACAAACTACCTGTAAATATTTAATGCTATATAAAAAATAGTAAAGCCAAAGAATAATAATTAAATATGAAAACGGTAGAGACCAACGCTAACATACTTGAACTTGCGGACGATACTTCTGTCCGCCCTATTCCACCAGAATCACCTGCTTATCCTTCTTCACCTGATACAACAGGACAAGATCTTTCGCTTTCTGTAGAAACTCAACAAATGAATCCAAGAGGCGCTTCCTTTGAATCTTATCATGATAACCCGAGCATTACCTCGCTTCAACACCCAGTGACTCCACTATTATATACTTCGTTTGAAGGTCCCGACATTCATGAAGATGAGGAAGACAAGTGTGGCATAAGTGACGACGAAGAAGATGGATGTCGTCTTGATAAATCTTCTAAAAGATATGCTTCAAAATTATGGATTGCAATAGTTATATCTCTCTTCTTTTTTGTAACCGAACTCGCTGGTGGTTTTATTGCTGGAAGTTTGGCTTTATTGAGTGATTCTTTTCATTTATTAAGCGGTAAGGGATCATTTTATTTAATTGGTTTAATTTATTTCGACACGACTAACAATTCTTCGTTTCTTCAATCAGATGTTGTTAGCTTTGCAATTTCACTTTTATCTATATACCTTGCGCGAAGGCCCGCTACTAAATGTATGTTATAATTATTAAATGGAATTTGTCGTAATTTTTTTATTATTATTACTAACATTTCTTTTTCAATATTATGATCTTTAGCACTTTCGTACGGTTATCATCGTGCGGAAATTTTAGGTGCGCTTTTATCTATTTTCATGATATGGGGACTTACCGGCTATCTATGTTATGAAGCCTATGATCGTATACAAAATCCTAAAACAAAAGTAGATGGAAAGACGATGTGTTTTGTAGCCATCATAGGAGTCATAGTAAACATTGTGTAATTAATTTATAATTTCTTTTTAAAAAATTCTTATCTATATTTTATATATATTAAACTCATGCTATATTATAGATTGATGTTTGTTTTAGGACATGAGCATCATGGGCATGGACATAGTCACGGTCATAGTCATAGTCATAGTCATGGACATGGACATGGACATGGAAGTGATCATCATCACGGAGATAGTGTTAATGTTCGTGCAGCTTTGCTTCATGTATTGGGTGATTTCTTATCTTCCTTGGGAGTTTTGATATCATCTATAATTATTATAATGGATGAAAGTAAGCAATGGGTTGATCCGTTATGTACATTTTTTTTCTCGGCTCTTGTGATGGCCACTACATTTGGTATATTGAGAAGTGGTGTTAGAGTTTTGATGGAAGGTTTGTAATGAAATTCGGTTTTTCTTTAAGGAAAGCCCCTTTTCTTAATCCTTAAGAAGTAATTTAGATACTAATTTTTTTTTTAATTACAGCAACACCCTCTCACATTGACGCACACTCTGTGAGAAAAGATTTAGAAGAAATTGAAGGAGTAAAGAGCGTGCACGATTTGCATAGTAATTATCTCTTCCGATGTTTTTTCCCTTGTAACTTTACCAGCTTACTAACCATATTGAATTTAACTCTTCCTTTTAATTAAAATGTTCAGTTTGGGATTTGACAGTTGGACGAGTAAGAATTATAAATAAATATATGTATTTATGTGAAAAAAAATATTTTTAACTCTATTTATTTCTTTTTGTAGACAACTCTAACATGCCATTTGCGACTTCAACCATATAATCCAGATGTTTCGGCGGAGCCGTTGATTCCTGCATTTATTTTATCACAAGCTAGACGTGTTCTAAAACGAAAGTATAACATAATGCATGTCACAATTCAAATTGATTCATAATAATATAAATTTTTTACACATACATATTATATATAGACAGGGTAGGTAAATCAATTTTTTTCGTTTTTATTTATCTTTTAGTTCGAATTATATTAGGAAATTATCAGAAAGGTGATTATATAATTTATAGCATTAACTTCAATAATTACATATTTATAAATGCAGAGGAACTTTTTGAGTTAACATTTTATTTTATGTTTACCTCAATTCATATATATATAACATCCCAATTTTTTTTATCCCTTCGTATTTTATGGATATAATTATCATGTATATTAGATTTTTTTTTGTTTTGTTTTTATATTATTCTTTTATTTACATTGTAATTACAAGAAAATTCAATTGTTACAACAAATCACTTGTTCAAATAATTGAATTAATGTGGATTAATTAATTTTATATAATTGCCACACATGTACATGAACTAAATATATATGTTATTCTTTATGAAAATAAAAAATTTTACACCATTAATTTATATTTTTTTTTATCTCTTATTATGCTGGAAGTTACCTCAACAAATTTTTCAATTGCAATGGGAGGAATTTGATAATGTAGAACTAATCTAGTAGTAGTAGAATCATTACCAGCGATGATAATATTATGTAAAGCTAATTTGTTGGCTAATTCGTTAATAGTCAAGTTAACCGATTTAGTATCGATAAAGATAATATTTGTATGAACGGGAAGCATTATTTGAATACCAAGATTATATAATTCTTTAGATAATTTTTTAGTTAATAGATGTGATTTTTTTAAATTATCTGGAAAGTTTGATAAGATAGCAAACTTAGCAGCTGCAGCCAACATACCGGATTGCCTCCAACCACCACCAAATAATTTCCTTAGATGTTTTGCAATTTTAATAAATTCTTTATTACCAACTAATATTGAACCAATTGGTGCACCGATACTTTTGGATAAGCATAAACTCATTGAATCGAAATGGTTTGCAAAAGATTGCAAGGATAAACCAGTTTCGGCACATGCATTCCATAACCTTGCACCATCTAAATGTAATTTTATTCTTTCTTTTTTGGCCAATTTAGATATATTTTTAATTTCATCAAATGGGAAAAGTAATCCATTCAATGTATTCTCTATAGAAATCACCCGAGTTGGAGCGTAATGATAATCGTCTGTGGTAATTATTTTGGATTGAACCTCTGAACAGGTGAAGTGCAAGCTGTTGGTTGGGATTATCGGTAAAACCAAAGCATGAGAGTGAAATGCTATTCCTCCTGCTTCATAATTGTAGATGTGGGATCTGAAATCACAGAGTACCGAATGAGGAGGTGTAGATAAATGTGCTCGAATCGCTATTTGATTTGTCTTTATAAAAAGTGATTTATTTTGTTTAAACTTTGACAAGTAGAGGAGATGAATGAATGAAAAAAGATGATGTTGCTTTTTACCATTGTACCGGATGGTGCGAATAATGCTGCTTCATATCCTGCCAATTCCGCTACATAAGCTTCTAGATCTTTAGTAGATTCATCTTCCTAATTAATAAAAAACGTATTAATTTTAAAATAATTTTCCTTCGTGATAGAAAAGAAATTCAAAAGAAATACTTGCATTGTATACATCATCACCTTTTGATGCATGACGCATTATTTCGAACATTTCATTAGTTGGTTTAGTCATTGTGTCGCTTCGGAAATCATATGTTTCACCCGTGTTAAATTTGGGTTTTACCGTGGAAGATGATGATGGGTAAGTTGAATAATGATGAAATTTCAAATAAGAATGGATATAGTATAAAGAACGATTAATTGCATTTGAACGAGGAATTAAACGAAACATTGTAACTTTAAGCGAAAGGTAAATTTTTTAATTTTTTTCTTTTTTTTAAAAAAATCAATCTTTTATAATAATTTGCAGTTGGCCAAATTTGATTTCACAATAAACAATTTTTTTTTTTTTGTATTGTTAATAACTTTATATAAATGTTTTTTATTCATGATATTCATATGAATGAATTAAAGTTGTTCATAACCGTTAAAATGTCGAACGACAATTCGAAATGGCGTGTTCATTCAGATAATTTACAAAATGTCGAATTGGCGAATAATTCATCATCTATAATTTCAAGTTTTTCTACAAAAAATGATGATCATTTAGAAATTTTCATATGAAAATGAAAATAAAGTTCAGGTTTTAATTGCTCTAAACCGAATTTAAAAAAAAAAAAAAATATCAGAGGAATTTTTTTTGATACGCCCCGACAATGGTTTTTCCCTCCAAATTTTTGGTTAACGATATACTTTAACGATATCACGCCATTAATTTAAAAAAAAAATTTTTTTTCCAGATACCTCGCTGACAATAATTTTTAATAGATGAAAGGAAATGAAGAAGAAAATGATGAATTAGTAGTAATTCCTGAATTTAAATTAGGTGTTATTTTATAACGTGAATTATTTTCGGGAGAAAAATTTTATGGAAGTTATTTTCTAAAAATGGAATAATTGGTAAATTAATTTTAATAATGATGAAGTAATGGAAGAATTTGATAATGATTTTTTTTTTAGTAATTATAATATATATCTATCTAATATGATCAAAATTTTAATTGAATTGCCGAATTTAATTAAGCATATCATATCCGGCAATACACCTTGGCACATATGATATTATTACCCAGCGAAACCACTAAAAAATTATTTCACCGATAATACAGTATATAAAAAATGAATTTTTTAAATAAACTTAACTAAATGGTAACATGGTAATGATTTTATTCATTATTTTCAATCAAAATTTTACAATAATTTTTTGTCTTTTTATATTTTATATTATATAAGTTAAAATCAGTATTCTTATTCTTTATTTTTATTTAGTAAAATAAAAAAATACATACATATTTGAAATTTGGATAGCACATTTACAATATTTAATTTAAAACATAAAAATAACTTTTTTTTTGTTAAAATTTATTAATTATTTAGTAAAAAACAATTATATGCTTACAATTTTTAGTGATTATGCTAGACAAATCAATATTATATCAAAATCTAATTTTATACTTTATATGTATACATAAATATTTTATATATATATAATATAATATAAACTGTGTAAAAATGCATTAAAATTAATTATATTAATATATTTTAATTTTACAAAACTAAATATTTTATTAATTTTTATTAATTTTTATTTTCATATTTATTTAATTCTAATTTTTAAATTACAAATAATATAATAGGTTAAATAGTATAATTATTATATTACTTATCAAATTTATATTGCTAAACTTTCTTAAAAAAATATTGGTTATAGAATTATTAAATTTTAATTTTAAAAAATATATTATTAAAATATAAATTATGTAATTTATTATTGTATTTTTATATATTAATTTAACTAAAACTTTAATTATTATTTCTTTTAAAGTATACTCAAATAATAATCAGATATATTAATATAAAAAGAAAAATATAGAATAAATAAAATAATTAAGAGAAAAACAATTTTAAAAATAAAAAATTAAATATTAATAGAATAAAAAAAGGATTTAGAAAAAGCCTTTTACTGGTATTTAAAAGCAGCTGAAAATAAAAATAAAATGAAGATGTAATGCTTAATTTAAAATATTTAGGAATATTAAATAGTCTCAAATGATTGTGAACGAATTTAGAATTATAAATTATAAAAAAAATCTAATCATTTATCTATAATAAGTAACTTTGATAAAAAATTATAATATTAAATTTTATAAATAACTTTAAAAGAAATATAAATTTTAAATTGATAATTTTTATGAATCTGATCCTTAAAATTAAGTCTTAAGTTTCAAAATTAAAATTCTATATTTCTACATAAGTTTAATATATATTTTAATAAATATTCAATTAATATATTGTTATTAGAAAGAAAATATAATATCAGTAAAATAAAAACTTCTTTAGAACTAGCATCATTACTAGTTAGAATAACCCATTTTATCAAATTTTTTAAAATATTAAAAGTTGGCTATAATATAGTCTAATTTTTACCAATCATTACTAAAAAAATTAGCATTTTGATAATTATTTAAATAAATAGAAAATCAGCTATCAATCAATATTAATGTTAAAATTGATCTAAACTCAGCATAAATCAGCTTAAAAACAATCAAAAATCAATTAAACAACTATCATATTTATATAATTGAAATTAATAAATCTCAATTTTAATTTATTTATTATTTATAATTTTATTTTATAATTACATAATAAATTACTTAAAAAGATTATATATTGCATTGTATTTTATTCAAAAAAATATACATTTGATTTTTTTAAAAATAAGAATAAATAAAGAAAACTGTTAAAAAAACCATATTAAAATATTACTTGTGATTTACTTATTTAAAGAAAAAATAAAGAAACAATTAAAAAATCATCAAAAAATCACCTTTAATTTACTTACAAAATGACAATTTTCTTAAAAAAAGAAAGGAAAACAATAAATTTCATTCAAAAAATTATCTTTAATTTATTTATCTTAATTCTAAAATATGAATTTTCAAGAAAAAAAAAAGGAAAATAATAAAAATCCATCAAAAAATTCATTTCTGATTTACTTACCTTAATATATTCCTAAAAGAAAAATAATTAAAAAATAATTAAAATAATTAAAAATCACCTAAAAAATCACTTTTGAAAGACTATATATTTATATGTATATTTACATATGTGAAGTTAATTTAGCTAAGGTTTGTGCTACAATTTATTTAATAAGTAAAATATAGTTAGAACTATTAGAATACTTTATATCCTATGATTTATATACATATAAAAAATAATGCATAAATAAAATATAAGATCATTCAATTATAATTATATACATAGGGGTTTAAATATAATTTAGCTAAATTAGAATAACATGTTGATCGAACTGCATAAAGGATATCTAGATTGAATAAGATAGTTATCTGTGATCTATGCTACAATTTTATTTAATAAGTATATATTAGAAAAGTGATCAGCATAGAGAAATATTATAATAAATAAAAAATAAGTCATATAACTTATTATTCTTTCAACAATAATTTTTCAATATTATAAACTTAAATCTATTACTTAAACTATTGCAGTAGATAAAACAATATTTTATTCCATTTTTATATTATTTGTCATGTAATTTATAATTCCCATATTTTTCATCATAAATAGAAAGACATAATGAAATCTATAGTTGAGCAAATATAAAATTATAATTATTAATCCCTCAAAACTATTTCAGAATTTTAAGTATGTAAAATGCTTTAATATAGTTTTGATAATTAATTCTGAATCATATTTGGCTTTATAATTAATAGGCTTAAAATCTGAGACTTTCAGAAGAATAAATGCATTACTTTGATTATTATTAATATTTTTAAAATAATATGGGAGCTTGTCAATAGAAAAGGAGGAAATCTAAAAAAAAATAAAATTTCACTTCATATGCTAAATATGATTTTTTTAGTAAAATAAGTCCAGATTTAACATTAACTCAAAAACTTTTTTTTTTTAGATTTCCTTCCTTTCTATTGACAAGCTCCCATATGATTATGACATTTTGTCATAGTTTCTAAAATCACCTAATTTATAATATATTGAATTTAAGTATAATTTGTTATAAGATGATACTTGTGTTATATATAATATATTTGATCCTATCTATATCTATATCGGTAATATTAGGTAGAAGAGTTTTATTTTCTTATATATTTTAAATCTTATTGTTTTATCTTTAGTTTTGCCATTTGTTATAAGATTTCTGACCTTATTTTCAAATTTAAGTGAATAATAAAACCAGTATAAAATTTGCTTTTGACCTGATTTTATTGCTTTATCAAATAATTCTGATAAACTTTATGTAGAATCTGAAATCATATTCTGTATACAAAGCTTACTAATTTCAGAAATGTTTACCTTGTCTTCATTCAAAAATGTATTGCTAGATATAAAGCTGAATTCAGAGATCAACTTCTGCATCAAATCCTCTATTATTTGATTTTCTGATTCAGTATATTAATATTAGAATTATCAAGAATACTATTCTGATTATGATATTTTATCACAATTTCTAAATAACTTTTTGTAAGCTTAGAATTATATTATATCTAGGATTTTTTTGAGATATATTTGAAATATTTTTATACTATTAATTGCTAGTGATTATTTCTATATTATATGATAAACTAGGATTAACCACTTCACATAAAAGTTTTTTCTCCTTATTGTATTGCTTAATTTTGTTATTAACTTTTCTCTTATATTCTGATTTCAAAAAGGTATTTATCTCTCTTATCTCTCTATCCTTTAATAGCTTCTACTCACTTATATTTGAAGATAAGAAATTGATATTATTATAATAGTTGCTAGGTATACTACATCAGTACATTTAATAAGACGTAATATTGTATAAACTTACATTCCGTAATATTATGAAAACTTACAAGGCCACCATAAGATTACATAAATTGTATATTTGTAATATTCCATAATATTACAATGTAGTACTACGTAATATTATGAATGTAAATTATGCAAAAGTTTATGAAATAGTACTTTGTAATATTACGGTGTAATATTATGTAAAACTTACGAAAACACAAGAATTTCAAAAGTTTACAGCATAGTATTTTATAATATTACAGTGTAATATTCTGT